GGAAGAGCTCGTTGGTTATCTTTAAGTGATTTTAGTACTCCCTCATATACCTTGAGAGACCACGCAAGAACCTCTTACCAGACATCGCGGTGAGGTCGGCATTACTGCTGAACAGCTCTGTAATTCCGAGACCTCTCCAGACATCTTTCAGATCAATTTCCTGTTCTACTGTGAACCTGGAGAACGTAATAGAAAATTACAAAAAGCCCAGAATGGAAGCAGTACTTACTGTTATTAAAAGGTCAAAATTTCTAGGTAATGACAATTGAAACACCGAGGTAAATAATGTAAAGTAGGAGATTCGGCACTGGTAGTATAGCATAATGTACCTTCTACAAAAATGCTTACAAATTAGTTTACTTTCACAGGTGGATTTTTTTTTTAATGCAGAAGCAATCAAAAAATATGCTAATGGAATGTACAGTCCCCGACCATAAAACCTCAGGGCAAAATGATGCAGTAGCTAATGTAAATGCTTACTTTTTACACAGAAGATTCACTATGAAAACTGAATTTAATTGTACACACACGAGAAAAGAATATCAAATAAGGCAAAGGACAGCACAAGCTTCATAGACAGCTGTTGGCAAAGGAGGAGTAGTAAAGTAAGAAAGATACTGCATTTTTCTTTAGACAGTATAAGCATAGACCAGCAGTTATGAACATGAATATAAAGCATTTCTGACTCAACGTCTGATTACTCTGGTGGCAAAATTTTAATTGGGTTTTGATTGTGAGCAGAGAACAGGGAAAACAAATAGTTGTTAGCACAAATGCACGTGTGAGTACAACCTGGCGGGATTTCAGGGTTATCTTGCAAAGCCATGTTCTAGGCTATGTTACTATGCTGGAAAAACAAATTGAGACTAATTCCGAGGGCAAAATTTTGGGCAAAAGCTTGTTCCATTTACAAAGACTTCTTTTCGAACATTACAAAAATTATGCCTGGTGCCAGTACGACAAAAAAAGGCTCAAGTCCTTTATGTATGGCTAGAAACAGACTGGACAGCTGGAGAAACAAAGAAATATGTTGTAATAATAACAAGAATGGCAGCCCCAAGCAGAAAATACCAGAATTCTACAAACACAAGAGACTAATTATAAATGTTTGTTATGGGTTAGTTATGGGTTCTCTGTAGAATGCCCAAAGAATTATTAGTGATACAAATTATGCTGACAGTGACTGGTTATAACAGTTTCTCCAGCAAGCCATTCGGTCAGAAACAACCCTGCAATTACACCGCAGTCCTTAAGTGAAGGGTCTTACCTGTGCTAGAACCAAAAATAAAATAAAATGTGCTTCTGTGCCAATTGCTTGTAATAATTATTTTTCAGGACTAAACTTCCTTGACTACATGGAGGAACGTGTTCTTTTCAGAAGACATTACAGGCCAGAGGCCAGAACTCTGAGCAGAGAAGAGCTGATGAAGAGCTCAGATGTATGATACCTCAGCACGTACAAGCCTTGGCAGCTTCGAAAAAGAATAATCTGGATATCAAATGACAACTGGGTAGAGTCAAGTGGATCTTCCTCACTTACAACATTTACACAGAATGAGAAAAATCCAATACACAATCTACATTCATAACGAACTTAGAAATGCCATAAGAAGCCAAAAATCTATGATGGAATAGATAGTAGTCATTACCCAGAGAAGAATTTTATGCAAGTTAAAATAAGATCTGCAGGTTGTTCAGGATCAATAAATCACTGGTGGCACTGCAAATCTAGATTAATTCCAAGATATGCCTGGAATAAAACCACCGGAACTGATTCTTGTGATTTTATTGTTTTGGCAGTTCTCAAAAGAATCAGAAGAGACTAACAAAGATTTATGTACCGGAGAAAGCTTATGGTGTTCTGGCATATTCTGCATCAATCAGTGTGGCAGCATTTAAAAAAAAAAAAAAAAAGCTGGTATTATCTTAGAATCATAGAATCATAGAATGTTTAGGGTTGGAAGGGACCACTAGTGGTCATCTAGTCCAACCCCCCTGCAGTGAGCAGGGACACTGCTAACTAGATCAGATTGCTCAGAGCCCCATCCAACCTGGCCTTGAATGTTTCCAGGGATGGGGCCTCCACTACCTCTCTGGGCAATCTTAATGAATCTTAATGAATGAGATGTAGGCGCACGGATGAGATGACCAGAAAACAGCCAACAGGACTGTAGGAAAGGGAAATGCATCCTGTTAGCTTTCTTCATGAGGTATCATCACTCACTTTCCTTTTAGAAAGCTGTGGACACTCACACTGCTCAAAAACTACAGGCAGGGAGCTCACAAAACCTTCTGCACAATTTTAGCTTTAAGCTGAGAGACAAATTTGCAAGTTTCTCATTCATTCAAATTTCCCACTGGCTTACAGGCTCCAAAACTAGAGACCGGTTTTACTCTCACTACACACTTGTAAGTCCAGATCTATTTTAGGGACTTTGGTAAAAACCCTAAGAAAGATGAATTAAGACTTGATTCCTGATGCCAGAGTTAACTCGAGTTAAACAGTACCGAGGTTCTGTCTGTGCACGTTGAATAAATCCAGAAATATTTCCTTCTGTATTATAAATATACTAGAACATTTTTAAGAAACACATCCAACTGGACCTACCTTACAAACATGTGGAAAAGGCAAATTAATGTTAAAATGCATTTCATAAAAATTTCAGAGTGGTGCATTTTCCCCTTTTTATTTCACAATTAGTATTAAATGTATCAAGCTTTCAAGACAATTTAGCTATTAAGTAGCACCGTCAAACCAGTAAAGAGTATTAGGATAGGACACTAGCAAGAAAAGTCTGCTTGAAAAACAATATTTGATGTCCAAATAAGAAAAATAATGCAAAAAAACCCATTTTTCCAAACTGCAGAGAATCATTATAAGTGGAAATCAGGTAGGTTCAGTCTCTGGACCACTAGACAGGAAACACACTTATCCGCTACGCAATGAATTGTGATCTAGAGAGAACGCATGAGAGAAGATGCTTTTGCATACTAATCAAGGAAGAAGTTTGGGAGATTTTTTCGAGGGGGAGCGGGGGACACCTGACACAACTCCCCCCAAAAAAACCAACCATGAACACCCAGCTGAATAAGCATCTAAAAAAAAGAAAATGCAGACAAGTTGATTGGTTCCATCACTAAAGAATACCTACATGAACAATAGCAGCAGTCGCTTAATTACTGGGTACAGGCTATAGCTCTGACAGAAACCTCTGGAGAGGCAAATGCTGAACAGATGGATGAGTGAAGGTCTCCACAATATCTAGAAGAGTAAATTCCTGCTTTCTATAACAAACAAAGTAGACTAAAAATATCACATAAGCTGTATAAATACCAAACTGTCCCTTTATGAAACTAAAAATGATTGCTTCATTAAGGCCCCATCCCTGGGAACATTCCAGGCCAGGTTGGACGGGGCTGTGAGCAACCTGATGTGGTTAAAGGTGTCCCTGCTCCCTGCAGGGGGGTTGGGCTGGGTGACCTCTGGGGGTCCCTTCCAACCCAAAACATTCTATGATTCTACTTCCCTTCTGCTCTTTTAGTTCTGTCATATGGTAAAACCCCACTCTGAACCACTATTCAGCGTAGCGTCTCCCCTCCTTTCTCACATGCTCTGAAGAGCAGCAAGAGTTACGGATAGGCTACTATCAATGATATTTCAAGTATTTTTGGTCTGACAACAGAACTAGCCTCTTTTGAAAAATAATAGGGCCACTTTACGCTTTGAAATATAATTTCAGGCTATGCAAACAGATGTAAGCATTCAGTATGAGTTATCCTCCAGTCATGTTTGGATGTCTTTGCATTCCTTATAGACGGTGATGCAGGTATTCACAATCAAAGCTGACAACCTAGAACACAGAAGAGACATTCAATCTCATTTCCCAAGCCAGGCATTTGCTGTACCTCCAGACTTTGGAAATGCCAAGCTACATGATACTGGCCCTGAGACATGGTTATTTGCAGTGTTTTGCGCATATAATGAACCAGATGGTCATATTTTTTTCCACGATCTTTTAGATTCTTCTGATGCTAAAAATACTATGAAAAAAATCAATTCCAGTACTTCAGTATCAGAAGTCATGGAATAGTTACAACTGGGAGCATTAAAAACCACAAAGGGAAGTCTGAGAAAGCTCAGACACTGAAGAAAAGTTGAGGTATTGTCACCATAGGACTAGAACCGAAACAGAAAGATCGGCCTGCTGAGTCAAGAGATGAGCTTCTGTACTTAAGCAGTTCTAGAAGGTTCACCAACACACATTTCCATGGACGTTTGCTTCTACAGACCACCTTAGAAAGCACTGAGCAGAAAGATAGTGATAGGGGATAGATATTCTGCCGATCAGCTGTTAGCCAAAGTCAAGGAAAAGAGAGGACATGAGTTAGCTCTATATTTTTACAATGTTCATTTGTAAAGTCTCTCCGCTTCCTACATGTGAAATGCAGTCCAAATAGCTGAACAAAAATATTTCTCGATTTCCACCGTCTTTGGATGTCTTCCATATGAAATGAAGAACAGAATGAGAGACTGTGGAAGTACAATTCGACTGAGAAACTAACAAACAGTTCTCTGGAGAGTTTAGCAGAGAATGATGATATTTTCATGAAATTTATAAGCTACACAAGCATTAAATTAAAACGATGCATTTACATCATCGACAGTCTCCTTAGTTACACATCTGAACCTCTCGGGTTTGGGTAGACCATTAATTTTAACATACCATATCAGGCCATCTTTCTTCTATTTTACAGACTTTTAAGACAGGAAAAAAAAAAGGATGCCTTCATCTGGTACGATGCTGCCCAACCCTTCTGAAATGCTGAATTTTTTTGTGAAGTCCTTCAATGCTCAGGATACACAGAATCAAGGATTATGGTACACTTTCTAGTTATACAAGAGAAATGAACTACAGCCTAGTGTTATTCATCCCAGAGGCTACAATTTCAAAAATTACTACGAGTTTTGAACAAGCAAAACAAAGAAATTCCAGGTTTTCAGATTGGTTCTAATACATTACATCCTGCAAGAACAGAAAGCAAACAAAGGAATGGCTTCATTGCTTGAGATCAACAATATTCTTGCTTGGAGGACAGGCCCTCAGGATCTGAATCACTATTTTAACCTAGCAAGCAGCCTACGATACAAAGCTGCCAGCTGATTCCAATTCCATTATTTCATTTGGAATTTCAGCTAGGTTGTCCTGAGGTACTAGAACTAGCCTGCATGATTCAATAGCCTGAAATCAAACAAGCAAGCAACAAAACCCCACCACTGACAGCAAAACCAAACAAAAAAATCCATAGAGCTGCTCTGAGCAGGTGAAGCAAAGCAGGTTATGGTTCTTTCTCTGGCAAGGTCCTTCTATCCAGGGCTAAATACGGACTGCAGAAGTTGGCTAAGCGTGTGTTTCAGTGCAACATATTTATGCCTCTTCCATCACTGTATCTCAAAAATGATCAGCACTGGCTTATTCCTCTTGAAAAGGGGACTCTAAAGAGCATTTTAAAAAAGAGAGATATATTGTCTGGGGGTTTCTTTGATTGGTTGGTTTGTTGTTTTGCTGGGGGTTTTTTTGAGAGAGAAAACAACCTTCAGCTAAAGAAACTTATTTCAACGTTGTCTAAGGCATCTTTTAAGACATTTTAAATATACAAAAAAAAGCAAGAAGGTCATCACAGAGAGCCAGGCATACTGGTGCACTCCTTAAGAGGAGATGCAGACTGTAGCACTGTTAGTGCAGACTGTACTAGTTCCTCCTATGCTCTTCAAATAATTTATGTTAGAGACAGCTTTGTAAATTAGATTCATGGTCTGTTTCACTCCTATGCAAAAAGTGGATTAAAATGTTGATCACTTTAGTCTGGGTTAAGCTGGAAACAATGATTTGGAAATGAAAATGAGAAAGTATAATTTAACAATTCTGTACAAATGTCCCCTTTGCTATTAAGAGGAATAATACACAATTTCATTTGCACACAGATAATGCAGACAGAAATTGGAAAGTTGTGATTAACTCTGCTTTGGCTAGTCATTCAGGTCCTATTACAAATGTATAAGTTTAAAAAATGTTCACTTATAATTGGATAGCATCTTTCAGGATATAAAAATTTAATTTTATTCCACTGCTGCTTTCAATTTCTCAGTGGACAGAGTCTGCAGGCCACATTTCATAACACGCCTTTCTGAGTCAGAGCATAAAATATTTATGAAGTGTTTATTTAGAGCATTGATAAAATCCTGCAGATCACCTCTGAATCCCTAATGGAAATACAACACCTTGGGAGCATGCAATTCATCTTTGGAATTTTTGTAAGGGAAGTGCAGTATCACTATATGGAATTTCAAGCTCATGATAGTTATCTTTATAATCTGAAAATACTGAAGGTAATCAGCACCTGGTTCTACCTGCTTTGCCTTTGTATAGCCTTAATTCACACATGTTTACCAAGTTCTTTAAGGTTCTTAGATAAGAGCAACAGGCATGATGAGTAGCCTAAGGATGGAATAGAGACATTACATGACCACACAAAACCTAAGCCTTAAACTCACGTCTGAGAACTTGGCTACAGGGAATCCTGGAGTCTCTGCTTTTGGTTAAAAGCAAACAAAAGCCAAAACTACCTCCATAAACTTAATTCAAGTCATAAACATAATTAATATGTTTTCAATTACCTTCATGTATTTAATTTTGGATACCTAAGCTTCTTAAATGTGGAAGCTAGTTTTCACAGATTCCCTATATAGTCGATGGAGAGACACTTCTGTTGTGGATCTCACACTCTAGAAATTCTTTGAGAGAAGATGTCCAACTTCAGCACCTGATCCACAGGCTGTGAAGTGCTCCAGTTATAAAAGGAAAGCTTAAGGGATGGACGAATCCTCATATTTTACTTCTCATTAACATCTAGGCAAGGTTTGCCCAAGCCAACACGAGAAATAACCTAGGAGAAACACCCCTCCCCTGTCTCTTAGTGGAGTGTTAATACTAAAGCTCCTGGGACCTGAAGTTCCAAGAGAAAAAACAAACAAACAAAAAATCACAGGAATAGCATACAGTAGGTTCAGTTTGCATAAAACCTGCAATGCAGCCCTTTGCTGTTCTCCCTGCTTCTTCAAAGGAAATGCTACTTAAAAAAAAGAGAGGAACTCCTACTACGAGCAGAGAAAAATAGCCCCAAAATGCCGCTGCTCCCTTACCACTCTGACTCCAAGCATAACAGCTTTAAAGCGAGTGGAATTCCATCTCCAGCTGGAATTGGGGCACACTGACAGCACCAGTCCATCTCAACCTAATTTATCCTGACTAGCTTTGTTTTATTGTGCTCGGCTGCAGTTAGCTTCTTGAAAGTGGTCTTTGGCTTGGAAGGGAAGCTGATAAACTGCAGGGATTCTTGCCCTGCTCTTTACATGTGAAATATAACAAACTCAAGTCTCCAAGCCACCTGGAAAACAAAGAACTATTTTAATGATGAAAAGGATTCACTATAGTCTATTTTTTCTGCTGCCGTGTACCCGCTGCACAGTGCCACAAAAGTAAAATAAATAGAAGTGATCCACATCAAACTTGTGCCATATTGTTTATATAAACACTGCAATGAAATCATTATGAATCACTTGAAGGACATCATGATCCAGCTATACGTTATTAGTGACATTTAGTAGTAAACAACTCAGTTACTAAGTGTAGGGCAATAAATGAAAAATATTTGAAGGCAGATGAAATAGAATTCTAGGGAAGATAACTACGTGGTATATGTGAGTAAATACGCCACTGAGCACACACAACTTATGTCTACAAATGAACTGACAGAAGTTTCATCCCTTCTGGTGATAACGTCTTGTTATTCTATTGCTCTTCTAAGGAAAAAGAAACCAGTACTTATTACAACTACGAAAAAAAAGACAAAAGACACAAATTGACTGGAATTACCTCTCAACACTCAACCATTTGTATCTACACAGACACACACCATTAGAACTTTTTAAATTAGCAGCACATAGAAATCTAATTAGGACCTAAATGAAACGTTTTAGCTTTTGTTAATTCAGACTTGCAATATTTCTATGGCTCCCATCTAAATGGAACTTATCCATAATGAGTTCTGCAATACTCTGAACATCATTCAGAGTGCATCTATTCCTGATGATGAAATTCTCCTTTCTGGAGCTTACATATGAAAGGAGTGCAAATGCAGCGTTCATCTGTTGCGCAAACAACCATCACTCCGCATGGCACGCCCCCCTTCTTGTCAAAGCAAGGGTGCTACCTAACTGCAGCCTTGGACAAGGTGTCCAAGTTTTACCTACTCTGCTACTCCAATCCATCTGAGTGCAGTCTTTCCCCTTCTATTACAAGGGGGCATATTCTCACCTTGGTAAATACACTTCCACTTTTTGCTTCTTTACAGCATTAGCCCATTCATTAATCAACGAGGCTTTGACCAGTGGTTCCAATGTGACCAGTGGAACTTCCTGCCTGGAAAGAACGATCATCATACTCATCTCATCTCCCTCATATGGTATTTCCAGAACTTGATAGATACCACCTGCTTCATTGGAGCCATCACTGAACTCTCCTACAAAAGAAAAACAGCAAAAAAAGCTATTAGAAGTATTTTCTTTTGTTTTTCACTGGAGATAGGGGGAAAATGGAAGGTTAATACTAGGCAGTATTTATTAGATACCAGAGACAAAAATGACCCGCTTTATTCTATTCTGTATAAAATTTGTATTAGTTTCTTCATCATAGGATTTGAGGTTTACATTGCTTTCTTAAACAAGTTTATGCCATCACACAGTTTGTAGATTATCCTTCCATTGGATAGATAGAGAGAAAGCTAAAAGTTGTCAAGGCTGCCAAGACTTCAATGGAAATGGGCAGAGGTTTTTTTATTCAGGAGAGATAATATGTCAGTGACGAGACTCAGCAAAACACTGCCCATGCTAGACACTGTAGAACCCACTTGGAGTTCAAGCTCAAGAGAAAAACAACCATTAGTTCTGCTGCTTAGAGAACCCCTATTTTACCTTTCTAAGGATATTACAACAGTAACGGGCAAATAGTATTCATTTTAATATTTAGCACAACACAAGAAAAATATTTTATAGTGAGAAGCAGGACTAGCTCAGTAATTGTAAGGAGGTTAGATATAATGGATAAACATTCTGAAATCCACTAAGTGGCACCAAACGCATACCTAAAAAAGTAATCAAGAAAGAGGTCATTGTAAGTGCTGCTATCTTGTTATAATACATAAGCACACACAATACTAAAAGACATTAAAATCAGAGTCCCTTCACTGGGCAAAAACCACATTTAAAATTCTAGGTGAAAGAACAGACAACAATACAAATGAGTATTACTGCAACAAAACTATTAAGGGAAGATTTACTAGCTTTAAATTGCTGAAGCTCCAACTCACCATAGTAAAACTCTCCCTGCTGGTACATCATTGGAATCTGCACTTCACTTTCATCATCTTTAGTGAAAGAAAAAGTTCTTGTATTTTCAGGTCTGAACTGTGATTTCCAATTGCCTTTAAAGTAGATTGCGTTGATGAGAGCCAAATGAGTTAGAGCACCAAAATCTCTTGAAGACACAAAATCTTTGATCATATCTAAGAGGAAAACCAACTGTCAGTCTGCATGTCAAATTGAGCATTAAATCAAAACTTAAGACAGCTTGAAAAATGCAAGAAAATAAAAAGCTGTACTAACACGATTTCCAATTCAGATGTTCCATTAAATCTCAAATTAAACTGCCAGTGTTTTGTAAACCCAAATCACAGCGTAGGTGCATAAACCCTTCCACCGAGTACATGTTAGTCAACTGTTTCTTGATCACTACTTAAATACACCCCACCATGAAAGGAAGTGGAAAAGGGGTCACATGAGGAATGTTTCCACTGGTGCTATAGTACAGTTCAGCATTATCCTCTTCAGGTCAGAACTTCTACAAACTTTGGCTCCAATCCAAAGCAGCACTTAAATGGGTGCTTAATTTAAAGTGTATAAGTATACCCACCGGAACACCACCTGGGCCAATTTTAAAGGAAGCATTCAGTTTCTAATTAAATAATGTCCAGACTTCCAAGAAAGGACTGATCATAAAAAAAAATCCCGTACATTCCTAGCATTTGTTCCACTGACATTAGCTCTTGAAAAGCAAAAGAGAAAAAACACCTAGCATCTGCTCTGTTCATGGGAGGTATGTCAGCTGAGCATAGCAGCTGCTTTGCTCCTACTCCTCAATAAGTCATTTACATCAGAAAACAGTCTGTTACGTGCTTTAGCTCATCTTAAATGTCTTGCTTTTCAGCAAAATAATTTTGAGTTTGTTAAATTTGGTGCGCTGACCAGATTTGTCACTATTCTTGAAGAATTACAGCCTACTTCAGATAGCTGTCTTGCTCACTTCTATTTTTAACTGACATTGCAATGCAAGGTGTTAAAATAAACACATTCCTCAGTCTGATTATTACTTCTTAATCCACGGTTTAAAATACAGATTAATTCTGCTTTCTGAAGCATATGACACTGACTAACGGGTGTGAAATGAGTGTATCATAGGGCAGTATTTCTTCTGGGTTGCTGTTTGTACTTCATTTTATCTAGAACATTCTTAGAAATGAGATGTGACCCACACTGCAACACTCACTTTCTGTGGTTGGAAAAAAAAAGGAAAATTAAGGATAAATACACTTCCAATTTTTCTGTTTGGTACATCATATTCCCTTATGTTTTTCAGCCACTTCTTGTTAATACACTAATGTACGTTAAAATTTTTTCTGGCCAGAGAAACCTTTGACAGTTATGTTTTCTGCTCCGAGCCTCCCATCATGCTTAACATGCTGGAATTGGAAACCTGCCTGCCTTGTACCCCTTTCCTAATGAGAAAATGAGCCGCCTCCGTCAGAGCTGGCAGGCAGGAGAGAACAAGATCCAGTGGTCAGGGACCAGGCTGAGGGACTGTTACTATCGCAACCCAATGCTGAGAGACCCACAGCTGCCTTCGTTAGCTCTGCACAGCTCCTTCCAGGGCAATGGCTATGAGCTTGGGCAGCACATGCGGCAGGGTATTAAGCAGGAGAACTTGTTCTTTCTAGAAGAGAATTTTACTTTTCCTTCAGAGACACACCACGTTTCTCTGAAAACGCTCTGCAATCTGCTACATCACTTACGTTCCCTCTATTTCTGTAGCTTGAGATAAAGGGCAGAATTTATTACAACTGTAATAGCTGCCATTTTCCCTTGGAAAAAAACGTATCGTTTCCAAAATGGAAAGAGCATTATGTGAAGTGGTTTTCCACTTTGATGCCATACATTTCCATAAAGCATTATAGATTCTTAAAAGCTCAGACTACATGGCGATGTGTTAATTCCTTACAGGGGATTCTGATACCTTCAAATTTACAGCGGTACGACTGATGTGAGAGCCAGATCCCTGTTGAATTACTCTTAAAATATCAACCTCCAGAGTGCGCCAGATGAACTAGAATGAGATTATCAACAGGACTAACTTCACTCCCATACCTTGAGACTCCGCACGCATTCAGAAAATGCCACATCTTTGGGGTTCCACAAGCAAAGCAAGCACTACGTCATGCAGATATGAATATGCATATTTACATCAGTAATTTTGTGCTTACTCCTCCTGCTGCAATTTTTTCTTGTGAAACTCTGTTGACAGTCTTCCTAAAAATCAACTACTCTCTCAACATGCTACCTAGTTTTCTTACATTGGAAAAGATTAAATTACAGGGTCTGATTTTGTGGTTTAAACTTATCTTTTGTATTCCTTAGTATTCTATTTCTCAGTACCTTGCACCTGTAAGTTCCACAGATAACCGGTGATATTCCATGCATCCAAAGCATAGGCCAATAACCCCTTTGTAGACAACTTTAACTGCAGTCAGCAACAATTCTTACCTACTTTTTTTTTGTTATTTAATACCAAAAGCAGTTTTAAAATGCTAAAATGCCTACCATTAAAACATTCTTCTTCAATAAATGTTACAGGTACTTTAAGAGAGTAAGATGGGGAAAAAAAATATTCAGACAGATACTACCACATGATTAGCAGTGGCTAGTATTACTTAAGACAGATCATCCCTGCACAGGGGAAAAAAAATAATTCCACAAAGAGCTGATACTAGAATTCTTTTCATGGGAAGAGATACTTCAGCCACAAACAGAACAGATAAAAGCCAAGGCAACAATTCAACAACACTGTATGACTTTGGAAACACAAACACTTACTGCAGGAAGTATATAAAAGAATCACGTGGACTTACTATTTGTATGATTCTCCACCCACTTATTGATGTGGGTAGCTACAGCTGCACTTTGGCTGAAATCTATGTTCTCTACCTCAGCTTTAAAGTATTTTTTCACCAATTGCAGAAATTTGTCACTGATATGAAATCCATTCTGCACATAGAGAGAGTTAGCAATATTCAGAACATAATGACTTTCTTCAGTAGTTGCCATATCAGAAAGGTCCTTTAAGAAGGTAAACTCTTCACCTGAGGAAAGAAAAACAGATTCAGTGTTTCAGAAAAGAAAATTATTCCATGTTTTTTCTGTTGGAAATTCACAAAGACATTTTATGGGAAAAAAGTCTTTTTTTTTTTTTTTTAATAAACTTGTTTCTAAACCTACCCACACCTTCAGATCTGAAAGAACAATCTACAAGGCAGAACATTTCATTTAGAGCTTGTTTTTCTACTACCTATAATTAGCGTAATTAACAAGACATTTGGATCCCATCACAGACAAAGCTATCAATGGTAGTCCTTTCAACACCAGAAGAATAATTAAAAAAACCTATTCTAATAAGTCACACTATGTCTTGCCACAACAAATCCTTAACAGAATTTTCGTTACATTCTAAACACCAGCTGTTTAAGGAAAAATGAACTTCAGGTTTTGAAACTAAGGACCTCCCCATAGACTTCTCCCTGCAAAAAAACCCCAAACCAGCCCAGGTCTAGAATTTCCCAGGATCCCGCATGGGGTAGTACAGAATCACTTGCTTGGGTAATGAGGAATCCTGAGTAGTATTAGAGGAGTCTGCTTTAAGATAGGAAGCTTGTACTGTTGCATTGTCTACCAGAAGCTGAAGTTCCTAATATTTTTTTGTAAAAATAACTTAAAAATTGAATGCAATGATATATTCAAAGCAGAAACATTGGAACACTTTCACTGAATATCACTCACATGCAAGAACAGTGATTGACCCAGCTCAAATCAACTGCGTAACTTCTTCAATTATAGCTAAGGGACAAATTATCAATGTTTTAGAGACAAACTGTAGAACTAAGTATGTGCTGTAATCTCCACAGAGAGGTATCATCTGTGCAGTGGTACTGCTGAACACATCTTGAACACTGTATTCAGAAATCCTTCTCCAAGGTCCTTTCACTGAAGACTTAAATTCTAGTATGTTATATGAATGAGAAATTTCATTCATGTTTCAAACCAATTACTTTGACATCAAAATTCATAGAAATTGCCTCTTCAAAGTAATTTTTTTCCATTGTCTCATCTCCCCCATTTGCAGTCATATTAAAGTTGCCTGCACTAACAGAGTGGGCTTGCACTCCACAGCCCTACATCCTGACGCATGACTTAGCTCATCCCATACTACAAACAGGACCATGTGGTAGTACTGCTCTCTGATAAAGAAATGAATCCTGTTTCTCAGAAAGGCTGATGGGAACACATGGCATATCATGCTGAAACAGCCAAGATGCTTGTATTGCCTGAATTAGCTTGTATATCTGTATGCGACGTTATGCAATGCAAACACTGGCAACATAGAATTAGGGTAAAGAACCTGCAGGTTCTACCTACAAGAACCAAAGAAGTCGTGTCAAAGTATTTCCAGTTAAAATACTAAGATTTTCATACTTTCTTCTAAGCAATATTGCTAAAACTAGTGCTTTCCTTTTCAGGTTTCATTATAATCCCTAAAAAGGATGTTCCTAAAAATCTTCTTACAACTCTTGAGGCAAAGGCATGCTTATTTTGCAGATGAAAGCCAAGATCAACAGTTAACTGCAATTGCTTAAGATTCAGGTGTCAAAGCCAGGATTGTACGTTAGCATCTCCCAGCTTACGCAGAATCCACTGAAGCATGCTTCGGCATGCTCAGGCCATCAAACAGGATGCCAAGAAGCCTCCTGATTAATAACCCACAGACATGACCAGACCACTTCTATCGTTGTTCAGGCATTGCCATCTGTTTCTTTAAGACAAAAAGCCCCATAGTAAAACGTGACTATAAGCCTTACCATTTTTTAAGCTGTCAAAACCCAAGGAATGTCGAATTTCTTTCAAAGTGGTTCCATGGGCTCCAAGCTCTACCATTCCCATGGCTATCGCAATGCTCAGAGGAGAGAAAAGAATATTCTCATCTTCTCTTGCAGCTCGCAGCTGGTTGTAAACATTCACAGAAAGCTCAGCAATGGTTTCATCAGGAAAATTTGTCTTGAAGGCTTTGCTTTGCAAAACAAGCAAAGACAACAGTCCAAGGAAATACATGTCTTGAGATTTTAAGATCTGCAAGAAAATTTTAGAGAAAATAAGTTAACCTTGTTTAAGTAATAAAAGCATAATATAATAAAAGAAGAGTAGTCATCTGTGCAGAAAAAAAACTAGTTAGAGTTCAATGTGCAATTCAGTTATTTGGAGGAGAAACTAATATATACACTGTTCAAACTGAAACAAAGATCTATTTTCAAAAAAGATAACCTACTTCATTATGTGACTTCATGCTTTTGAAATCGTTCAGCAACAGATTAACAAATCGCGGCTTCTACAGAAAGGGACCTCAAAGACCTAGCAATGTCTTGCCTACTTTTACTTTTTGATTTTGCTGTTTGTCATTGTTAAGCAATGCTGATCTGGAATTAGTATGGAGTTCTGTACTTTCTCACCAAGGAGACCTACAAATCCACATTTCTTTCATTTGACCTTCCAGTAAGATGCAACTTATTTATCTAAGCCCCAAACTCATAAAACTATTTCAAGCACTGTAAGAGAGCTTGCTGACACCGGTGACAAACGAAATGTACCGTGATGTTGCTCAGTTGCAAAACACCTGGCAAGCAGCCAAAAATCCTTTGAAAGAAAAATAAATCCTGCCTTAGTTACCAAATGAAATCCCTTTTGTTAGTAAATAATGGTGAAGTTAGGGAGTTATGCTAGGCTAAGAGACAACACCTGCCCAGACATCTTTAGAGGATAAAGTTATTGCATACACCAGCGAGAAAGATCCAACAGGGGAAACAAGAAAGTAAACTAAGTAGAAAAAAGGGTTAGCACTAATGCTTTTGACTAATCCATCCTCCAAGCTTTGCTAAACTGCTTCAGTAAGCAACAGTTCTCACTCTTATCCCAGTTTAGCTCATCACACAACTATAGACATTAAAATTCCAGCTCCTGGAGCAGCGTATGTCTCCACCCTTCCATCTTTCCTTTAAACTTCACGCCACCTCGGCATATGACCCATTACTGCCAAGTGTGGTGGGTCAGACATACCGAGCCACCAAACCTGGCATTTCAGTTCCTTCTCTTTGCCATTTACAGTATCTCATTTTTTATTACAGTATCTCAAAGCATTTACACATAACGAAGCAAAGATTCCTGAAGCAGTAGGCTAGACAGTACAAGACTAAAAGCTTTAGTCCAGAACTGTTTACATGTTGTTGTGCCAGTCTGCGGGGCTTGTCAGCATGGGACAAATTTGTGTGAATGTGCTATTCTGTTGCTCGACTGAAGTCAATTTGCATGCAGCCAGCCCAAGTGCCTCTGCCTTATGCTTCCCAGCTCTCCCGCGCCTACAGTTACCATGGGTTTCCATATACCTGACACAGAGACCCTGAGAAGGCTTTATACAACATTTAGATTATGCATTTCATCTTCAAAGGACTACGCAGCATTATCTAATTAACTCGCACAACACCAAATGATACATGAGATAAGCATTATTATGCACATTTTATAGCTGAGAAATATAAAAAGCAACAGGGTACACCTACGTGCCTTGGCAGCAACTGATGCAGTCACTAGTTAAGATTCCTGTCCCCTAGCCACAGATCAGCCTTTTGTTTATTTTTTTCACTGAGAAAATTAAATAGATGAACCAGTGCAGCAACCATGCATGCTCCAGGGGACAAGGACAGGCTCTTAGGGCAACACGGTAGCTACAGCCTTGTTTCTCCCCTGCCCCACATCTCCCTGCTCGTGACTGCTTCTGTGTACTTATGACATATGCCCCTTTTCCCAATTTCTAGTAAGCCCTCCTCTATGCTGGCATCACTTCATCTCTCCGGACTACCTGATCAATCTTTCTCTGATTCTTAGCAAGATTTCAAAACCCTCCACCGAAGGCTCTTATTCTATTGAAGAATGGCACCGGATAAGTCACATAAGCCTGAAGCACCACCTTCATATTGTACTTATTACTTGATGACTACATATTTCTGTACACTTATAAAGCTATCCAGCACTTCGCCACCGCCCAAAGGAAGACACTTCAGTCTGAGCCATGACCATCGCTATTCATTTCATAAAGACTGAGACGAGCCACAACCACAGCTATTCATTTCATAAAGACTGAGACAATCTTTTTATTTTCCAAAACACGTTCAACATACCACAAACTTCCCCAATAACTGCTTTTCTTAATAGCAGTTAATTTTTATTTTTTTTTAGCCTGTCCATTTATAATTATTGACTTATGGATATTAAGGTTTCTGTCATAGAAAATAACTGGATTTCTCAATTTTCTTTGTGATTCTGGGCATTCTAGATTTCTTTATTTAAAAAAAAACAAGAGCATGCATCTCTCCTAATGCTATATAATGCAAGATTTCATTCACATCACTGTCATAGACTGAGCCCAGGTATTAGTCTCTCGTCCCAAAAGCTGCACAAGGCAAGAAAGGCTTATAAATGTACATCACTCAGGAGGTCTGAATCGGTGGCAAAAATGGTACTCAAATAGCTAAGCAGAAGCTCATACTTCTTTTGTTGAGGATGAACCCAAAGCATCAACGTGGCTTTTAAACTGGCCTGCAAATCTGGGGAATCTCACGTCTTAAACTACGCAAACAAGTTGTGTTGCTCAATGAGGATGCAATTACAGATAGCTAAAGCTTCCCCCCCCCCGCCCCCAAGAACTGTTTGAGCTCACTTTGAGCCCTGACAAGGTTACAACAGACATAAGATAATCTTCAATTTTACAAAAGGAAATTTCCCCAGCCTTTTAGTTGCAGAGGCAGCTATTCAGCACTCCATCACTGGTCCTTGTCATATGTGCTATTGCCAGACAGGCTTAAATAATTGCAGAGAGGAAGGAGAGAGGAACTTTATACATCTTAATGAAGTGCTTAGCATGGGGGTAAGACTATTTGAATGCTAATAAAATATCTGGTATCAGACAACACTAAAAAAAATTACATACAAATGAAAGTCATCTTCCCTCCTGACCACTCCCAAAAAGCTCCTCATGCGAAATAATAGTTTTAATATTTTTAATTATTTAGTTGGACAGAAAACAGACTAAGTACATAGATGTGGACAAATAAGATTTATACTGAAGTGCTCTTACAAGACAAAGTACAAAACTTAAACTTAGCTTTTAAGTACACACTTAAATCCCATTGGTTTGCATTGAT